GGTCGCTGAGTCGCAAACGACTCGACGGCACGTAACAACAAACAACTAGCTAATGAGGGCACTCTGGTGGGAAGGAGTCCATAGGGAATTGTGCAGCTCACCCAAGGGTGGTGCCTCTCTGGCAGAACCCGTCCACCAGGGGCTCTGTGGGAGAAAGATGTGCCATCTCCTCCTGTGAGATTTACAGCCTCCAAAAACCCAGTGGAGACTCAGGCATGAGTCTGTCCTAACTCCACAGCAGCGAGTCTAAATGGAATAGCTAATGATCTCAAGAAGTTCTTCATGTGTTTGCTGGCCATTTGAATGTCTTATTTGATGAAGTATCTTTTCACGTCCCTTGCCCATCTGGTACTTGAGTTGCTTTTCTTTTTCTTTCTGAGGTACTGACAGCTTTTTATAAATTTTATAGATGAGTCCCTTGTCAGAGAGGAGGGAGATTAGCTGGCTGAGCAGGTGGGAGAGGTGGGGTGAGTAGCTGACTCACAGTGGAGTAGCCCCACATTACAGCTAGGGCTCAGGGTGAGAGGGGTGGGTCTACAGCTGGTGCTGCAGTGAGGTGGCCTCAGATGGGCTGGTGGGCACGAGTGGTGGGGCCACTCTGATGGAACAGCTTGCTGCTGCTTGGAGAGGCTGTTGTGTGGGGAGAGGGTGAAGATCAGGGACTGGGTGTTGAGGGGATGGCACAGCAGTCATGGTAGGGAGGAGGGGGAGAGCAGAGGAAGAGAGCTTCGCTGGTCACTAGGCAAGGAGGCCTGAGTTATTTCTTTCCTAGTAGCTGGTAAATAGGACTTTACTTCATTGTAGATACGTGTACATGGTTACTCAATGGCCTATTGGGAGATCTGGGTAGTCACCTTCTTTGTACTTCACCCAGGATTGCTGTTGTTTTTGTCTAAAGAAGGCGATTAGAGCCCTTTTGTTCTCTCTTTCTTCCCCCTTCCCCTACCTTGCTTTTCAGTCAGACTCCAGTCAGTAATTGTTCTAGCACTTTCTCCTTCCATTTGATGCTCAAGATTCCAGGACCATCTTCTGTATTTTACTTCATCTTTTGGGTCTTCATTGTAGATAGACAAACTGATGTGTCTGACCAAATCACCATTTTGGCCTTTCTTGGAAATCTGTATGTCTCAGAAGCTCTCAGGTGACACTGCTATTGCTGGCCAGGGGACTACCTTCAAAAACTGCTGGCTTAAAAAATACAGGACCTAGGTATTTCTGTCATCACAGGAGTCTAGAGCGATGGCTACATGGTGGAGGGGACCTGTGGGAGGGTTTGTAAAACAATGAAAGAATCTTTCCTTTTACTTTTCCATAATTTTTGACTCATGTACTTATAACTTGTTAGTTAAATTTGTGTCTTCTAGGTTGCAACACCCCCATGATACATCTTCAAGGATATGAACATGTACGGCCAAGCACAATCAATAACAGTGCATCTAAATTCCAAAATCAATCTCCATAATAGTCTATGTGTTTCCTACTGCCAAAGGGGCCCTTTAGAGTAGTGAGAGAAGATCTTCACCCTGAAACCCACAGCATCCCTTTTCAGCAGGAAGTAGCTAAGAGAATACGCCATCCCCTTTTCCTTATGAATCAGGGTGAAGTCTCTCTCAAGGAGGAGTGATAGCGAATGGCAAAGGACACACTGACAAAGGACATTACTCAGAACTGACTTTGACAAGCACTGTGGCAATTGGACAATTAAAACAGACATTCGGATGGTGGGGGAAGAAGAACAAACTGGGGAGGAGGGTAGAGAGAATGGTGCAGCAATGAAGGAATGAAAACCCCAAATCCCTGTAAATGTTCATTAAAACGAATAAAATTTAATTAAAAAAATACAGGACCATTTCCTTTGCTTGCTCCTCCAGAATCTGTCCCCAACTTAACTTCTCAGCCTCACCAGCCGCTTCTTTAATGCCCCAGCTGTCTCCACCCACACACATGTTGATTCAGTCTCAGCGCTCCGCTCACCACGCTCCCTCACACCAGACTGCCAGCCTCATCCCTGCCCTGCTTACTCCTAACCACCCTTCAGGCTGCAACTCAAATGCCACCTCCTCCAAAAAGTCTTCCCTATCTCGCCAAAATCTCAGAAGCCCCTCCAGGCTTAGGCAGGTTTCCTCCTTTGATTCTGAGCACTTTTTTCTCTTAATGGTAGTAAAACAGACATAACAGAAATATTTGCCATTTTAGCCATTTTAAGTGTATATTAATTACATTAGTGTACGTTTTGAGTGTACATTACTTACAATATGTTTTTGACTGTTGTTACTGATTGCCTTCGAGTCGAGCAAGACTCAGAGCGACCCTATGAACAAAAGACCTGAAGCCTTTCTTTAACTATTGTCATTTCTCAAAGTTCATAGAGCTTCCAGAAGCATGTTATTTAGGAAGTGGATGCCATTCCTGGTTTTAAACCTGTCTTAAACTGGGAGCCCCATCAAACACTGTCCACTATGGGTAACCATATGGCATTTGACACCCCAATGGCACAAGATTACAATATAAAGGTACATTAATTGAGATTAATTGCAGTCACTGGGTTGTATAGTCATCACCATTATCTTATTTTCAGAGGTTTTTTTATCACCTCAAACAGAAACTTTGGACTTACTGGGCAATATCTTCCTGTATTTTTTTCCCTCAGCCCTGTAGTTGTATATAATCGAGTTGGCACGGACCCATAGCTGACCCTCCAGCAGGTTTTCAGAGGCAGTTAATCGCACAGGAGGAGATGGCCCATCCTTCTCCCACGGAGCAGCTAGCTGGTGGCCTTGAACTGAGTGCCTTCGGGACTGCAGTGCCGTTTTTTTGCCATTGGCCACCAGAGCTCCCTCCCTCAGCCCTATTATCCTCTAAACTACTTTCATCTCCATGCATTTGTCCTTTCTAGATATTTCACATAATTTATATAGTATAATATTTATCCTTTTGTATCTGACTTATTTTACCAAGCATAATGTTTTCAAGGCTCATTCATGCCATAGTATGTATTAGACCTCCATTTCCTTCATGACTGAGTAGTACATTCTGTTTTATGGATACATTACATTTTGTGTGTCCATTTATCTGTAGGCAGACACTCACTTTGTTTCCAAGTTTTTGGTTATTGTGAAGAGTGCCACGGTGTACATGACATTGAACTCTTTTAGTCTCTTACTGTAATTTGTGGCCTAATATCACTCCTGCACTTGAACCATGAGCCCTAGTCTCACCCACCTCAGTGACCACTCCATTGTCTATCTGCCCCACCAGATCAACAATGCAAGGCCAAGCGCATACACATACAAACACCAACATTTATGAAATGGCACAATCAGCTCATCATATTCACTTCTGTCAGCATCTCCAAAGCAGAACGACTCTACAGAATAGTATGCAAGACGGCCTAAGAGCCTTCTCGCATTCTTTAGACAAAATTTCCATATTTTCTGGGAGCAGAGACATCAAGAGAAACAGAAATCATGACTGCCATTGAGCTCCACAGCCAGAAGGCAGGGGACACAGCAGTTAAGAGCCTGGACTCAGGCAGGTGGGTGCACACACACGCAGATTCCAGCCTGCCTCTGATTAGCTCACTCAAAACTCACCTCCATAGAGTTGGAACCGATTCATAGCTGACCCTCCAGTGAGTTTTTAGAGTCTGTTCATCTTTCTTCTGAGATGTCGCTGGTGGATCCAAATCTCCAGAAAGACACCACCTCTCAGTCAGCAACACAACTCCCTACAGACTACACCACCAGGGCCAACTTCTGATTAGCCAGAATCCATAAATCATCCAAGCTCCTGGCTCTCGTCTTAGTGAGCATAACTGCAGCACCTCCTTCCCTCAGAAGGCATCAGGATGCAACAATGTCACTGTCAACAGTTAACACCAGCTAGCATTTACTAGGTTCCTACCATGTACCTGGAACTGAGCAGATATTATTGTGTCTAATCTACATAAAGTGATAAACACAATGTCTAACACATAACAAGCATTCAAGAAATATTAGCCATTACTAGAGAGCTCTGGTGCTAAGAATCTGTGCTGCAATCCCAAAGGTGAGCTGTCTGAAGCCACCAGCTGCTCCAAGGGAGAAGGATGGGTGATCTCCTCCTGTGCATTTTACTGCCTCTGAAAACCTGGGAGGGTCAGCTATGGGTTGGCTCCCACTCAACAGCAACAGTTATTATTAAGATGATCGATTTCTTCCTATGTCATACAACCTGGAAATCCAACGGAGGGTCAGCTGAGAGTCAATTCTCACTCAACAGCAACAAGAGAGAGAGAGGATTATCCTCATTGTTAATTTCTTCAACTTCCCTGCAAGACACATACTGCTGTTCCCATTTTCCAGATGAGAAACTCATCAGCACAAGTGCTCTGCTCAACAAATGTTAGCAGTTGTATTCTGTAATGGTTCATTTTTTTTTTAAAGTATAATTCCCCTTTTGTAAATAAATAAAAAAAAATGTCGCTCAAAGAAGGTCATTTGCATGTGGAAGGCTGGGATTCGAACTGGATTTCACAGCCAATTCACCAGGTCATCATACCACCTGGTAAATTCACCTGTCTTCTGTGCCACACAGTCAGTTCACTGTTTCATTCACGAGCTATAGAGAAGTGTCTCCCCAGCGTGTTAGAGCACGCAGTGCACCTGTCCCTAAAACCCACCAAAACAAACCCACGGCCACTGAGTCGAGTCTAACTTATAGTGACCATCAGTCGGGTTCCCGAGGCCCGTAAGTCATCACAGGAGGCGACTTCTCATCTTTCTCCTATGGAGCTCCTGGTGGATTCAAACCACCAACTTTCTGTTTAACAGCCCAACAGGTATGTTCTATGCCACTGGATTTCCTAAAATGACAGTTGTAAACCCTTCAGTCCATAAGAGGTTGTTTCAATAATCCAAGAGGGCAGGGCACACAGCAGAGGATTGATACCACAGACACCCCCTCCTGAGAAGACTCCAAAGGGCGCTAAGGAAACCAGAGGCCAGAGGCCTGGCACTGACCGTGACCCCGAAGAAGTTGGTCTCGTTCATGGCGTTGAGGATGATCCTGCCCAGCGTGTGGTCTGTGTAGTTGAAGTCTTGGATCCGCTGGTGCCGGCTGCTGGCATGCAGTGTCTCCATGGCTCTCTGAAGCGTCTTCGCGATGACCCAGATGCCGTCGTAGGCGTACCCGTGGAACTTGCTGGGCCCCACGCCCGACCGCTTGTTGTTGTACTCCCTCTCGTACTGCTGCGGAGTCTGAAAAAACAAGGGGCCCACGGGACACCAAGTTACCACTGACGGAGTCATCAGACTCACGATGCTGTGAAGAACCGGTTCTCCTCAGTGTCCACCAAGCTATCCTCACTATTATTACTCCCCTTTTTGCTGCTGTTGTTGTTGTTGTTGATTGCCGTTGAGTCGAGCACGACTCATAGTGACATGAACAAAAGGCCTGAAGCCTTCCACAACCATCGCCATTTATCAAAGTTCCCAGAGTTTCCAGAAGCATGCTGTTTAGGAGGTGGATGCTATTCTAGGAGAGGTTGGCATGCATTAGGTTACACAGGTGGTAAGAGAGAGGCCCAGGATTTGAACCCCGGCTTACTCCAGAGCTCTGTAAACGCTAGGGAAGAGGGAAATACACACTCTAACCAAGCATGCCCCGACAGCTGCAAAGTTTGGAGCTAGAGGACAGATAGATAGAAGTTCAGATACCATATATGTAAATATTTAAGTCATAGATCAAACTAACAAACTAGAAGTTCAAATACCATACATGTAAATATTTAAATCATAGATCAAACTAACAAACTATTCAATAAAATATGTCGTGTCCTGTCACCATGACAAATGTACCCTCCCAGGGGCCCGAGTGGTGCAATGGATTATGTGCCCACCGTCTAACCAAAAGGATCAGGCCAATCTTCTTCCATAAAGATTCTCCCCAAACCAAAGACTCACTCAGCTGATTTTGGCTCAAAGCAACCACACAAAATATATGAGAAGTGTCTTAGGGTTTCCAGTCTTCTGGAAGCTCACTGCCCAAGTCTTCTCCCAAAGTGAAGGTGGTTTTGAACTGCTCAGTGCTAGGTTAACAGCCAAATGCTTTCACGGCACCACCAGAGCTCCTCTAAGAAGAGAATAAGACAGAAACTCGCCAGGGTAGGTCCAGACTGTCGCACGGGATCACTAGCAGCTGGAACTAATTCAGCAGCACATACTGACCACCACCACACACGATACAGAGGGCTAGGTTTGACTTCAGAAGGCTCTGCTCCTCAGAGCTTAAGGTGGGATGCAGCCATCGAGGGAGACAGCCATGTTCTCTGTTCCGCCTGTCCCTTCCCTTCCCACCTGATGCCATGCTGCAGCCAATCACGCTCATCCACACCTCCTATGCCAGCATCATCTGCCCCATGGGTACCCTCCAGGTGCAGCCCAACCTCAAGAAGGAAGACCAATGAAGAGAATCTGTAGGTCAAGGAAGCAGCTGCAGCTGCTTTGCTGGTAGTTTAGGGCATGGGCTAGAAGTAGTGGGTAACAGGCTCTGAGTGGACATGACCCTGAGTCTCATGGATTCTTATCTGTTGGGCCAAGAGAGGTCCTCCTATAATGGGGCCTACGGAACATACCATGCTCTTAGTGCAAGAAGGGCGGGTCTGACCCTATATCCCTCCTCTTATTCTTGCCTCTGATATCTTCTATTATTTAGCACTGCCTGTGAATTGCTAGCATTGAAAAATTCCTATCTCATATTGAGCTGCATTTCATAGGGGAAAAAATTCATCAGTGATATTAAATTTCTGATTGTAGCTACAGGGAAATGAAATGACTTTTTTACTCCAACCCCTAGAGCTTCCTCCTCCAAAGGAAGGGAAGTCAGGGAAGCCCATTATCCTCGCTCGTCCTCCCTCAGGCCTTTCCTCAACTCGATTCTGAACACCTCCAGAAGTGTCATCAGAGGCAACACTTAGGCTCTGGAAAAACCCTCCTTGTGGGCATATCACATATGGAAACCAACAATTCATCATCACTTTATGCCAAGAAAAGTGAGCCAGAGACCTGCCCCAGCCAAGATGAGAGAGAGAGA